AGATGGGGTCTCACTCTTGCTCAGGCTGGTCTCAAACTCCTGAGCTCAAGCAATCCTCCTGCCTCAGCCTCCCAGAGTGCTAGGATTATAGGTGTGAGCCACTGTGCCCAGCCTGTGCAGTATTTTTTAACTCCACAATATAAATGGACATCTTTCTCTATCAATAAAACTAGATCTACAACATTCTTTTAAATGGCTTCAGTGTAGTCCACTGAAAGGAGATGCTATTATTTAACCAATATTGGAATTGTTTTGAATTTTTTAATAGTAAAAAACATAGTCATATCCATCCTTGTCCATATATCTTTGTGTTCTTGACTAATTACTTTCTTAAGACTTCTAAAAAGTGCAATTATTAGGTCAAAAGGGAAATGCATCACAATTTCTAAATTCATATTGCCAGACTGCTTTCAAGAAAGGTTATTTTTACCTTCCCAACGAAAATGTATGACATCGCCCAATTTCCCAATATTTATCTTTATTTTATTTTTAAAACATTTTTTGTAGAGACAGGCTCTTGCTCTGCTGCCCAGGCTGGTCTTGAACTCCTGGGCTCAAGTGATCTTTCCACTGAGGCCTCCCAGAGTGCTGGGATAACCGGCATTAGCCACCATGCCTGGCCTAATTTTCCAATCTATAGTGAAAACCAAGCACCAGTCAATTAAATATTTGCCAATCGGAGAGGTGAAAGTTGATTCAGAGATTATTTTAGGTTATATTATCAAAAGAAAGGGAGTGAGGGAAGCAGAATGATGTAGGGGGTAAAAAACCAAGTTGGGTTATGGTCTTAGCTGGAGGCTAGCTGAAGCTTCAGCCTGTTCCCAAAGGGAGCTCTTTCACCACTAAAGTGCCACCTTGAGGCAAGGGGACCACAATATGTACCAGTTGGTCACTGGCTGTGATCTGCCTCTGGGAGAGGTAAGTAACTTCTTGGATGAAACAGCTCCCTTTTGTCAAGGGCAATTCTTTAGACTCTACAGAGAGGGCAGCTGTGAACTTTTAGCAGCCAACAATCATAGCTCAGGGGTAGGGTGCCTTCCTGTAGGGAATATTGGTGGGTATAGGGGGTTGAGTAGTGTCTCCCCCAAATTCAAGTTCAGCCAGAACCTTATAATGTGACCTTATTTGAAAATAGAGTCTTAGAAGATGTAATTAGTTAAGATGAGGTCACACCAGATTAGAGTGGCCCCTAAATCCAATGACTGGTGTCCTTATATGAATAAGAGAGGACACACAAAGACACAGACACAGGGAAGAGGGCCTTGTGAAGATGAAGTCAGAGATTGGAGTTATAGGGCCACAAGCCAAGAAACACCTGGGGCCACTAAAAGTTGGAAGAGACAAAGAAGGATTCTTCCCTAGAGCTATCTGAGGGAGCATGATCCTATTGACATCTTGAATTCAGAAAAATGAGGGAGCTGGTATTGCTCATTTATATGTTTTGCTTGATTATACATTTAACCAAAGACCCCACAATCTTTATTATTTTTGAGACAGGGTCTTGCTCTGTCGTCCAAGCTAGGGTGCAATGGTGTTACCGTAGCTCATTATAACCTCAAACTCCTGTGCTCAAGGGATCCTCCTGCCTCAGCCTCCTGAGTAGCTGGGACTATAGGGATGTGCCACCACACCTGGCTAATTTTTCTATGTTTTGTAGAGACATGGTCTTGCTATATTGCTCAGGCTGGTTTCAAACTCCTGGCCTCAAATGATCCTCCCACCTAGGCCTCCCAAAGTTCTGAGATTGTCAGGTACATAGTTAGGATCTCTTGCTCTTCTAGGGAAAATGGTGCCCTGCTTTGGTGCTGTCTCAAGCAATTGCTCCACCTGGGAAGAAGGATAAGGGTAGGCACTTGATTTTGATGTTGCCCCCATCCTTAATCCTATCTTGAGCAACACACCTGGGGAAGGAGGGCATGCTTTATCAATGTGGGAATTCCCCAGTCCAGGCATGAGATAGGATTTAGAAAGTGACCTAGAGTAACCCAAGGGTAATTATTATGCCATTAGCTTTTTTATTTTTAATTTAAAAAAAATTTTTTTTTAACTTCCCCGGAGTACAGAGTGTAGATGCCATTAGCTTGAATATCTATTGTGGTTCACCCCCCAGCTTGGTTTTTGGAGAGGGAGCTCATATGAGATGGAATTTTGATGACATCTGTTGATCATTTGATAATATCCCACACCTCCGAGAGCCCGCCCTTAGATTGGGCTAATAAAAGGAAACACTCTGAGAATTCAGGAAGAGAGGGAGGGAGTCTTTCTGTCTCTCTCCACTCTCGGAGACAGACCCATTTTGTTCTACAATAATGAGCTGCTTGTGTGAAATTGCTTCCTCCCTGGGGTTACTCTGTCCTATTGGCCCTGCTGGTGATTTTTCCAAGATAATAGTCTGGACTTGACGCTTTGGTATGCCTGGTCATTCTTTGGCAGAGGGCAGACTGCCACCCTGACAGGATTACAGGGCTGAGCCACCATGAGCAGCCTATTTATTTAGAGTCAGGACCTTGCTCTGTGTCCCAGGCTAGAGTATAGTGGTAAATCATAGCTCACTTCAGCCTTGAACTCCTGGCCTCAAGGGATCCCCCACCTTGGGCTACCAAAGCACTGGTATTACAGGTGTGAGCCACTGTGCCTGAAGGAGTTTTGTTTTAAAAACAACTTTAATCAAACTAATTTTTACAAAAGTTTGTAGGTATATAGACTAGGTATTATTTATCAATCAATAATGCTAAGGACAATGAGAAAATATTCAACTAAACTATTCCTGAGAATAGTCAATTAGTACCTTGCAATTTTTCCCCCAGATTTACGTACTGACAGTGGCTCCCAGGATAACCGGCCCCATGAACAAATTTCAATGACCCCTATATGTTTTTATAATACTCTCCCTTAACTAACTACTTGACCTTTTGAGTTGTTTCCCAGAAATGGTGAATTTTCTGCAACACAAAGGAGCTGAGATTCTGAAAGTGTCCCTCTCCCCTGGGCAGACTTCCTGATTCCCAGATTCACTGTCCCCTACAACCTGCCCCCAATTCATGTAGCATCTTGTTAGTTACACCATCACCTGCACCAAGGCATGTGGCCTCTCCTTTAAAAGCCCATGATCTCTATTAGGTTATTCTGAGAGATGGATTTGAGGCTGCTTCTCCCCCGACACCCCACCATTCTCCCAACAAACGCCTGTGGTATTAAAAAATTCCATTCTTCCCTGGCAATCCTCATTATGTCAATAATTGAATCTTTGTGTGATGAGCAACTAGACCTAGGTCAACGGACCCTTGTGGTTTCTACAACACCAGTTTCCAGTTTAGATCAATCGATTCCCAAAATTAGGCTATCTGAAGTGTTCTTTTTTTGTTTTTTCCTGGTGCATAAAATCATTTTTAATTTTTCTAGATGCATTTGCATCATCAAAACTAGTGCTATATCCCGATTCTGTTGCCATATTCTCTTGGCTATTGTAGATGGTAAGTCAACAGAAGAGGGAAAAACTCTTTGGATACCTGAAACATTCTTTTATTTCATAAATTATTGAGTGTCTACGAAGTACTAGAAACTGCTAGGCACTGGATATTTATTGGTAAAAAATAGACATAACCTTTGCCCTCGTACTGTGATTCTTGCTTCTGGTTAAAGATGGGTGTGAACTGAACATACATGTTTCATTTCCCTCTTAAGACGCCACTGACATAAAGATTCAGAAGTACAAAGAGGGATAAATCTAATGCAAAGACACTTGGGAATAAGCTTTTAAAACATTTCTCTAAGACTGCTGACAAACGTAATAGAGGATAGGAACCTGCAGATCTCAGCTACAAGGCTGGAGAGACACAGGTGGTATGCCAGAAACCTCTGAAAAGTCCTGGGGCTACCAGAGTTGGCATTCAAGGGAGTGCAGCAATGAACTTCAGAGCTGGGACAGTAATTGAGGAATTACATATGAAAC